GGGGAGAGGTACGCGTGCAGGTAAATGATGCTCATGGACGTGCGGCAGAGGTTCCAGGACCCCATTGCCAGCTGATCTGCTCCTACAGATTTGCACTCCAGATCCTAATCTGCACACGTCCCTCCAAGGCTCCCACGGGAGGTGCTGCGGCTCCAGCGGGGGACTAAGCAGAAAGGCTCGGAATTGCTTCTGACTTGCCTTTTTTACCATCCAAAGTGGGTCTGTCCCCACCTCTTCCACAGCAGACACCTGTCTTGGGGTGAACGTGCACCAGTGCTGAAGTGCTAGTCACTCAAGTTGCCTGGTGCTTTCCTTACAAATCTGGGTTGAGTGGGCTCAGGGGACAGGGCATGTGCACCCAGTGATGATTCCTTCCTGTGACCATCCACTTGGTCTTGATGGCATCTCTTGGGGGGTGTGGGCTCGCTGGGGCCCCTGGGGGTTCTGGGGCTTGCATTTGGTGTGTGTCTCCATGTGCCCCCCTGTCCATCCCCGAGCCCTCTTCAGGCCCAGGAGCCCCTCCCAGATTCACCTGCTGCAGGTCTCCTCTTGCAGGCACCAGGTGTGGGCATGGGCGGGGGTCCCAGAGCCATTGCACTGGCCTCGTGTCCAGGTCAGCAAAAGCTCCACACGATGCCAGTTGTGACCTGCGTTCATCGCAGCGGCCTCTCCACGTGTTTTATTTGATGTTGCAATAATCATGTGATAGCGTAAGGGCTGTTTTCATGGACAGGAGTGAGTGAGCTGCCTCAGATCACACATGTGGAAGCCAGGGTCTCCACGGGCCCTTTGCAGAAGCACCAGCCTGGCCAGGCGAGGTGGCAGAGCTGGGGGTGAGCAGGAGACCTCCTGTGTTCCTCTCCACACCAGAAGCAGCTTCAATGTCATTGGACAGAAGCCCTGGCTGTCCAGGCTGTCCTCCTCACCCCCAAGGGCGACATCTGTGGCAAAGACACAGCCCTTCCTCCACCCTGAGGCTCAGGAGCACATTGTATGTGGATTTGCCAGTTTTTCCAGCCAAACAAGAGTTCAGATATTGAAGCCATCTAGTCTCAGAGAAATTTAAAACTAATCTAAGGATTAAAAAAATATATATTTGTACAGTTTTTAAAGTCTCATATTACTGGGCAGGAAGTTTCCAGAATAACTCTTCAGTGCCTGACACTTGGAGACTCAAGTGAACTTGAGCCACCATCTGTCCCAAAGTCCACCCCTCTTCTCAGCATCACTCTGCCTCCAGCTTGCACCGTCCAGGAGAACGAGACTAGCTGTGAACTCGCCCTGCCGCTGGCCTCAGACACTGCAGTTTCTGCTCAGCTCCCAGAGAAAGTGCGAGTACATCAGAGGCTGGCAGCCGGTCCCCGAGGAGACGGTCGCTGCGTTGGGTGATTTTCAGGGATAGGGCTCTTTAGGTATGCAAGGTATTCTTTTTCTCTTTAAAGAAATTCTTCAAGCCCACCCGCCTTCCGGGCTCAGTGTGAGGGCTTTCTATTGAATTCATACACGTACACACACACTCACTAACTCGTGGGGTGTCAGGTATTTCTGTTTTTACCTGTTGTCCCTCCTTGCCTTCAAAATGGGTTCCCTTTTAAGTTTCCTGATTGCCAATTCCTGCACAACTCGATGCCTTATGAATATTTAGGGGAATTTTACGCTCATGGAAGATGCGGCCTCCTGCAGAGACAAGCAAAATGAAAGAATGGGACGTGATTGGATCCATTCAGTTCACGGCGATGTGAGCACGAGAAATGCTGTCATGTGTCTCCCTTAATTCTCCGTGGCTGCACGAACCATGCCCGGCAAATCATTCCACCCTAGCCGCTGCCTTTGTGGGACCCAGCTGTAGAGGTGACGCCACCTCCTTGTTTCGTTTGCATTAGGGATTGGCTTCTTGGGAATGACGTTCCATGGTCACTTGCTTACAGTTGAAGCCTTGCAGATTCTCACTTCCTTAATCTAACAATCTGCTAATTCGAAAAATTGAAAAAAAGAGAAAAACTAGCCTCCCCGTCTACTTGTCAGTGCAGACGTAGCCGTCGGGAGCTTTAATGAGGTACAGAATCAATTCCAGAATGTGTTTGTTCTCCCATCAACAGTGACTAATATGTCACGCGGTTTTCTCATGATTGTTTAAAACAAGCTCGCTGTGGTAACTGAAATAAACACAAGAAGCCCATTTTGTGATCCCGACCTAATTGCTTTTTAATCGTAGTGCTTCTCTTGCTCGTTTCTAAGATTTGCCTCTCTGGAGTGGTTTTCCCAGTCTCTGTCTGCCGGGCGTTTTCCCGCAGGGGCACCCGTGCACGTGGCGCGCTGGCCGTTGTCCGACAGCTGCTGGAGCGTCCAGTCCTTCACCACTTAAATGTTTTAGCCATGGTTGAGCTGCAGAGGCAACATTTTAAACCTGTCTCCTTTTCCCACTGATTTCTCTTTGATTTCATCTTTCATTTGGGGAGATGATTCACGGCTCTGGAAATCTACGTGAAGAGCTAGAGTCAGACAGTTCTTTTAAATGCACCGGTCCCATGGGAGGTTTCCCCCCTTCCTCAATCCCAGTGGCAGTGGGTTTAACTGCTAGAGTTGCAGGAATGCTCTGCAAATAATACACACCGTTGTGGGGGGAACTCAGTGTAGGGCAGACAGAACAGCCGCCTCCTGCTCGGTCACAGGTGACACTTTTCCGTCCTCACGACTACTCGTTCAAAACCTGTTCTCCTGAAGCCAGCCATGCATGCTTTCGCTGCCTACCCCAGCCTCGCTTCCAGGCTGGCATCATAGTGTCACCAATTTAGTGGCTCTGCATGCACTCAGACCACAATCGGACTGTCCGCACCGTGCTCATGAGCCGCGCACCCTGCCCAGATGGACTGTCGCCACGGGACNAGTTGCAGGAATGCTCTGCAAATAATACACACCGTTGTGGAGGGAACTCAGTGTAGGGCAGACGAACAGCCGCCTCCTGCTCGGTCACAGGTGACACTTTTCCGTCCTCATGACTACTCGTTCAAAACCTGTTCTCCTGAAGCCAGCCATGCTTTCGCTGCCTACCCCAGCCTCGCTTCCAGGCTGGCATCATAGTGTCACCAATTCAGTGGCTCTGCATGCACTCAGACCACAATCAGACTGTCCGCACCGTGCTCATGAGCCGCGCACCCTGCCCAGATGGACTGTCGCCACGGGACCCTCTGGGAGCATCGCTCTGTACTGGAAGGTTCTTCACGTCCACACACCTGCCTTGCAGGGCTCCTCAGGACGGATTCTGCTGGGGCTGGTCCCACCTTTCCTGGTTGTTTCTAGGGTACGATCCTTTAGCATCTTCTACCCGGAGCTATCAGAGTCCTATTTTTAAAAATGGCCATTCAGTGACCTTCGGTCTCGTGTCTGTCTGTTGAGCCCAAACATGAGAAGTGTCTTGTTGAATCCGCTGGACTTTGTTAGGCCTGGCCCTGAGTCTAGTAGTTTTCAGAGGAAACCCCAGGGTTGTTTCACTACAGCCCGAAGGAAACGGAGAGGCTCAGGTTCCCATCGATCATACGCCCACCCCGCTTCAGCCTGTGCCCCAGACACAGGGGTTGTGTGGAGGTGGCCTGGCCGGCGAGGGACGTGTGTCTCTGCTGTCCAGGGTGAGGACGGGCAGTCGGGCCCGCTGTTCTCAGCGAGAACAGGTTCCAAAGATCGCAGAAGGACCACATGCCTGCTGCAGGGGACGCGGAAAACAAGAAAAGAGCAGCCACAGTTGGCACTGGTGGCGGGGATAACCGTGCGACTGTGAGACACACAGCTCTAGAGGTGTGTGTGCATGCGCCTGGAAACGCGATCTCACTGTTTCAAAACATACTTTTTTTAAGCATGTTAGAAAGATGTTCTCAATATGTTACTTTGTGCCGAAATCTTTCCGTCTCTTACTGCGTCACTCGGCTTGTGTTTTTCTGTTTCCTGATGTCTTGTTGGTTCTTTATCTCAGAACAGGCCAGTAGCTCCCGCGGCTCACAAGTTAATCTCGCAGGTTGGTCTGTGTGCCCTTTCAGGGGAGCAAGCCCTGGCTGGTCTGGGTCCGTTGTTCAGAGGACGGTCTTTCTCTTCTTCAGGTGTCAGCGGAAGCAGTGGCGGGTGGACCTCCCGGCCACCAGCGTGGTGATCACATTCCACAATGAAGCCAGGTCGGCCCTGCTGAGGACAGTGGTCAGGTGAGGCCAGGAGGTACCCCCCAACCTCACCTGTCACATCGTATGGGAGGTGGGACCCGTCAGGGCCACCAAACATGAGCTGCATCCCTGGTGCTGTCAGGGGGCTGCAGACAGGGTCACCTGCCTGCTCAGCTCAGGTAGCGGCCGGTGGCTCCCCCAGCCAAGGATCAGGGCTGAGGTGTGGGAATTCCCCACCCCTCCCCCAGAAAGGGCCACGACCTGTACGCTCTTGTGTTTCCTCAGTGTGCTTAAGAAAAGCCCGCCCCATCTCATAAAAGAAATCATCTTGGTGGACGACTACAGCAGTGACCGTAAGTACCGAGAGCGAGTTCGCCCACGCCCCGACCTCCTGCCCGGCACCAGCCTCCTGCAGAGGAGCGAGCGGGCCGGACATCAGGGCCTGCAGGGGGGGCAGCTCCGGGACGCCCCGGGGAGACCAAGGCCCGCAGATGACCGAGAACCACTGTGCGGGCACAGGAGCCCTTGTAAGGTCAAGTTCAAAGTGCTGTCTTCTTTTCTCCTCCTAGCCGAGGACGGGGCTCAATTGGGGAAAATCGAGAAAGTGCGGGTTCTTCGGAACAATCGGCGGGAAGGTAAGAGCCTTCCCCTCACTCAGGACCGAGACCCTTGAGTTCTTTTCCTGGGCCCAGTCGCAGCTTAAAGAAGCCCTCAGCTGACAGAGCCATGAACCGCCTGAGCTTTCTGTTTCCCTCTGCCACAGTCACTTGGGAGCTGCTCTCAGCAAGCACGGGAAGGACTTTAAATGCTTAACTGACTAGAATTGTTTGTATACGCGGGCACGAGTTCAAATAACATTTTTATTTATATATTTAGAAAAGTGGCTTCTTTCTTTCACAGCCTAGGAAGTCTTATCAGTCTCTTGAGTACAAGAGTGTAGAAGAAAAACAAAAACATAGCCATGAGACATTTCATGGCTCCACGCTCCGGGC